TTTTCAGGGTTTTCTACATATAAGATCATGTCATTTGTGCATAGAGGTGATTTTCTTTTTAATTTTTTTATTTATTTATTTATTTATTTATGATAGTCACACAGAGAGAGAGAGGCAGAGACACAGGCAGAGGGAGAAGCAGGCTCCATGCACCGGGAGCCTGACGTGGGATTTGATCCCGGGTCTCCAGGATCGCGCCCTGGGCCAAAGGCAGGCGCCAAACCACTGCGCCACCCAGGGATCCCTGATTTTCTTTTTAATATAGATTATTATATTTTTCTTTTTCTTGCCTAGTTGCTGTGGCTAGAACTTCTAATACTATGTTGAATAGTGGTGGTGAAAACGGACATCTTTGTCTTGTTCCTCATCTTAGGGGAATACCTTCAGTCTTTTACTGTTGAGAATGATGTTAGCTGTAGACTTGTCCTATAATGCCCTTCTGTATTTGACAGTTTTTCTTAAATGTCTGGATCTAAAAAGGGCATTTCTCTTTATTTTTTAAGATTTTATTTATTTGAGAGAGAGCACGAGCAGGGGGCAGAGGCAGGGAGAGAAGCAGATTCCTTGCTGAGTTTGGAGCCCAACACAGGGCTCTGTCCCAGGATCCTGGGATTCTGACCTGAGCGGAAGGCAGATACTTCACCAATGCAGCCACCCAGGCGCCCCATGTCTCTTTAAATCTTCAGGAGACAGCACAGGGGAGGTTGGTCCTTTGGGGACCTGTCAGACTGAATAAAAGGTCCCCACTGCCCCACCTGGCTCCAGCAGCAGGACTAAGGAGCAGGGATGGCAGCTGGCAGAGCACAGAGCTCTATCCCAAAACTACACATATCCCTTTGAGCCCCTGCGTCGTTGCCATGCACCTCCCATCAGATTCCAGAATTGTGATTCTGATTTTTTTTTCCTAGTCTAGTGGTTGGAAGGACTGACCCCTAGGGCTTCCCCACTCCACCATTTAACAGGGTATCTCCAAATAGTGTTTGGTTTTGATGTTTAGGGAGTGAAGTTTGAGTCCTGAAAACCCACTACTGTGGCCATTGTGGCCCCTGTCCCAGCACCTTGCCTTCCCAAGGTGGTTGTACCAACCGCCTTTCCAGGGGGTTGAGTTCTGCTGGTTAAGAGTCAATTTGGAGGCCAACCAGTGAGAATTGGGACTGGGGCAGGTTACCACTGAAGCCTGAGGAAAACCCCAACTCTCCTGTTTGACGAGAAAAGTGAGAAACACATATGCAGCAGAGATCACAAACATTGCTGAATCTGATTACATATACCTCCCCCTTTTTTTCCCCCTTACAGAGTCTCTGGTAAAAAGGGTGAAAGCAAAGAAGCCAAGAAGTCTGAAGAACCAAAAATTCGAAAGAAACCTGGACCCAAGCCAGGCTGGAAGAACAAGCTCCGCTGTGAGAGGTGAGGGCCTGGGGAGAGGGCTGCCCTTCCTGCTGGGGCAGTGGCTCCATGTGTGCTCTGCATTGCAGGGAGGAGCTGCCCACCATCTACAAGTGCCCTTATCAGGGCTGCACGGCCGTGTACCGAGGGGCTGATGGCATGAAGGTGAGAAGGAGCAGTGCCCCGTGTGTGGCTGATGGGAGGACCAGATGTTTCTATAGAGCTAGGTGTAGAGTGGTACCCAAGGGCTTATGTAAGCCTGGGCAAATAGAGAATTGAGCGGCCACAGGCCAAGAAGTGAGCCAGCACCCACCTGTTGAATGAAGAATGGTTGGATCTCTCCCTTTGAGGGTGATCAGGGTACTTGTCCTGGCCAAGGCACTCAGGGTTTTGCTGTCCCTTCCGCAGAAGCACATAAAGGAACACCACGAGGAAGTCCGGGAGAGACCCTGCCCCCACCCTGGCTGCAACAAAGTGTTCATGATTGATCGCTACCTGCAGCGCCACGTGAAACTCATCCACACAGGTATGTGCCCTGCTCTCCCACTCTCATCTGTACAGTCCCCTTGGGTGGCTGATGGGGACTGGACACCCTTCAGAAAGGCCCAGGGCTGCATCTTGGTGCATCAGTGGTTTGAAACGGACCGTGAAGAAATCCCAGTGCCTTTCTGGAAGTTTATTGTGGTGAGGTTGTTTTTATCATTACTTTTAAAACTGTCCTGGAGAGTAGTGTCCCCCTGTTGCCCAGGGCCCAGCATTTCGGGGGGAGGAGGGAGTCCAGGGTGTGTTGGGTGTGCTCTGCTGTATCCTTCAGGCCAGTCTGCAGCAGCTCTCTGCCTGGGAGGGCCGTGTGTGGTCCGAATGTGGCGCATTTTCACTGGCCCTACTCTGGTCTGCTTGTGAAATGACACCTATTGCCATAGCCTTGCTGAACCCCCAGGAAGGGGAACATGGTGTGAGCAGGGGTTTGGGCCTGTCTTCTGAGGGAGGAGGCCTGCTGTGCTGGGATAGAGCATGGGGGACCGGGCTCCGTGTAAGCAAGTTAGGAGGGGAGTGTGGTCTGTACCCTGCTGGTTCCCATAGGTGGCCCCGTGCTTATGCTGAGGGGCAGGGGAAGGAAAAGGCACCTGCCAGCTCCTTTGCTCCTAGAGGGGCCTCGCCATGAGTGTGTTGGCACTCTGGGATGCCCTCTGTGATGAGGCACTGGGAGTGTCCACGGGCTGTTCACCCACCTTCTCTCCAAGACCTTCTCTCTGGGCCCTCTGGGCCCTCCCTGAGCCAAACCCACTGATCTTTATTTAGAACTCCAGGTGTCAAGCCCCCTGGTTACAGGAACTCAGGAAACTTGGCCTCTCGGTCCCTTTGGCGTTCTAGGCCAGTTGCTGTGGGGACTTGTTTTCCCTGTGAGCTGCCATGTGCTGGTCTGTCTCTTGCTCTCCTCCACCAGGGGGGCTCCTTCCTCCTCTCGATCTTTAACTCCAAACTCCACAAACAACTTGTAGTTTGTTGACAGTCTTGAGGGGACTTCTGGGGCATTTGGATGATTTGACAGTTATCTAGATAGGTTTGTGGGACGAGGCGAGCCTAGGGCCCTCCTCCTCTGCATACACACCACAACCCTGAGCTCGTGTGTTCATCACAGTTTTTATTCTCCTCTGATTTTAATATAGTCCATATTACATGTGTTAGAAACACAGGTACTACACCTGTGCCTGACCTACATGGCTGCTGCTCTCCTGAATTGCCATCACCCCCTTTAAGATTGATGTATTATATATGTATTTATCCCTCAACAATAATTTGCTTATTTTTGAACTTTGTAAAAATAACTTGTGATTTTTTTTCACCCAGATTTGTCCATTTTTATTGTTGAATCCTATGTCTTTTGCTCTGAGCTTTCTTGGACACGGCCTGACATAGTTCCCTCAAATTGGGTATTAGAACTATGGGTCTCAGTCTGGACGCCAGTGGTCAGAACCATTAGCAATTTTTTAAATTTTTTATTTAAATTCAATTTGCCTGGCAGCCCTGGTGGCTCAGCGGTTTGGCGCCGCCTTCAGCCCGGGACGTGATCCTGGAGATCCAGGATTGAGTCCCACGTCGGGCTCCCTGCATGGAGCCTGCTTCTCCCTCTGCCTGTGTCTCTGCCTCTCTCTGTGTCTCTTGTGAATAAATAAAATCTTTAAAAAAAATGAATTTGCCAAAATTCATTAGCAATTTTTTTAAAACACCAAAGAAGATATATACTATCAACTATGAAGGTACATTGTACTTCGTAGGGGAGAAGCCAGGCTCTGTGGGTTTTTGTGGATAAGCAGGTGGGACTTGAAGTGGCAGGGAGGAAGAAGCTCATGGCCACCACGCCAGGTGCATGTCCAGTAGAACTGACTGTTCAGTTTTTGTTCAAGAATATAAGAAATTTACTTCCCAAGTGGATATGCCCCTCCCCTACCTTGGACCCAATATGGGGATCATTTCTAGAGCAGTAGTAATCTATGAAGCATTACTGATTGGGCTTCCTCTAAGGATTTTTGCTCCAGTAAATAGATGTAAAGTTTCTCTTTCAGAAAACAAGCTTCAAATGTACACAGTTAATGAAACCCCAGCCAGGTGACATTTTTAAGCAGTTTGGAGCACTTTATTCACAAAAAGTTTTTTTTTAATCTCTGAATAAAATGAGGTTTGCTCAGGCCCCTTCATTGGGCCCTGAGTGTAAGGAAACACTACGTCAGGGCACTGTGCTCTACGAGAGTCCTGGGCTTTCCTCATGCCTGTGCTCACTCCATCTCTGGTCCACAGAGGTGCGGAACTATATCTGTGATGAGTGTGGACAGACCTTCAAGCAGCGGAAGCACCTTCTAGTCCATCAGATGCGCCACTCAGGAGCCAAACCTCTGCAGTAAGTGTGGGTCTGGGCACCTTCTCATGGCCACACTGGTGCCCATGCCCTTGCTCACCTGACCCTGTCCCCCAGGTGTGAAGTCTGTGGGTTCCAGTGCCGGCAGCGGGCATCCCTCAAGTACCACATGACTAAACACAAGGCTGAGACCGAGCTGGACTTTGCCTGTGACCAGTGTGGCCGGCGGTTCGAGAAGGCCCACAACCTCAATGTGCACATGTCCATGGTCCACCCTCTGACGCAGACCCAGGACAAGGCTTTGACCCTGGAGCCAGCACCAGGGCCTGTGGAAGGCCAGGCCGTGAAGCCCGAGCCCACCTGAGTGGAGGTGGTGAACGGGGTGACGACAGTTTCAGTAGTTCCTCATATGTGAACTGATGGCACAGCTTTGCTCGCTCGCTCCCCTGGAGCCCCCATGCTGTACACTCCCCACCCCCACCCCCCACCCCCACCCTGTGTGTCAGGAGGGCATTGATCTGCAGTATGGGGAAGGCGGGCTCAGTATGCAACTCATGTTGCCTTTCTAGCCTCCACTCTGGGACCAACATTTTCCTACGAATACTGAGTGACTTGGGGCCAGATGGATTTTAAATAACTGATTCCTGTTCCCCACTAAAACAATCAAGGAGATTTGTAATCCACTTTTTAGTGCAAGAGCTCCATGTTATGCTTGTAATAAATTATTTACAAAGGAGCTGGGCTGTGCACTGCGCAGGGTCCAGTCAGAAGAGATGGGGCTCCTGGTAGAGGTCGTCGTCGGATACTGCTTGATGTCTGCTCAGGAGGGCTGCACTCACCTCTGGGTCACAATGTCCACTAGTGGCCAGCAGCTGCAAGAAAATAACTGTGCTCAGCCTAGTGCGGCCCCCAGACACCCAGGGCCAGCAGAGAAGCTGGCAACCATGGCCCTGCAGGTGAGTGGCCACAATGCAAGTGTCTTCAGCACTCTTAATGTTTAAACAGTGATTTGGACTTAAAAGTACACATGCAACTGAGGATCTGGGTGTTACCTCTGCCATGTTTGCAAAGCTCTTTTCTGGGCACTTGGGTATTGATTGCAGCAGAAAGTGACGAGCTTTTATTATCAAGCCTACAGGGTCACCCTAGAGAAAAGAGAGGCAGAACCACAGGTCAGGGAGTATACTGTGAGGGGTCATCATGCACCCCCACCTGCTCACTGTACCACGAGAGTTGGCTGCATGGGTATGTGAGCGGTGTCACCTGCCTGGCCCTGGAGCTCCTGGCTCCTGCCAGCTAGAGCTGAGACCGCACTTGTCTCCCCAGTCACGAAGAGACAGATCAGCTTTAGGTACATGTCGACAGCAACGTGCAGGAAGGCATCTTCCCTGATGAAGGCGTCTTCATCAAAGTAGGAGAGAAGGCTGAAGGTAAGAGAAGAGAGCACATGGCTCTTAAGATTGTACAGAAATGAGTGGCAGCACAGAGCAGCTACTCATCTGAGGAACGAGGTTACAGGCATCTTTCCCATGTGAAGGGAGACTCAAAATGGTCCCACAGGATTGGGGAAGGAGTGACACCCTTTCTCTGACCACACAACCGCCTGGGTGTGAACTCCTTCACTGAGAGAGAGAGATGGTATTAAGTCACCGACCAGAGGAGCAGGGGCACTTACCTGTAGAAGGCAAATGGTAGCAGCCTGACGTATGGATCTGGGGCCAGGCGGAGGAGGACTTGCCCCATACCACCATCTGCAACCAGAGGAGGAGGTGGGCTCAGGGGACCTCAGGTGCCTACCTGTGACGAGTGTTGTCTTCATGCTAAGGCAAAGAGGCAGGGAGGCAGATCCCCACAGGATGGCCTAGTGGCACCCTGGGACCCCCTGTACTCCACTCAACTCTTCTGTGATTTAAAGGAATTTGTACTGGATTTATCCTAGTGGTTTACGTACTTGGTGTGAAGACTTCCAAAGAGGAGTTAGTGAACTAAGGCCCAAGGGTGAATACTTAGCCCTTGAAAGTTTCTGAAGGAGGACTAAATAAAAGTGGGGACCACAGCCTGCCTCTGTCACTGGGTCACCCATGTTGCTGGTAACTAGGACCTACTCAGGCCAGCCCCTGCTACCAAGTCTCAGGGGCTTCTCACCAGTGTCTGACAACTTAAAGAGCACCAGCCAGGAGACCTTCCTCTTGTCCAAGCACCTCAGGATCTCAGCACAGATGTCCACAGCCTTCAGGGAGTCAACAGCCTATGGCCCACAGAAGAGACAGGCTGACTATCTGTAGACAGGCTTGCCCTGGGAAGGGGTGTGGCCTCCAGCCCAGAAGGGAGCCTCTGCTCACTTTGTTGAGTCTTGAGTTGTGACTGAGGAATAGGCCAGGGACCCAGGGGTTCTTGCTTCTGCAAGCACAGGACTCCCAACAAGCCCTTACAAAGGTTCCAGGGCCCTTCTCCTCCCAGAGACCCTGCCTTACCCAATGGGGTCTTACATGTGGGGTGAGATGTGATGAAAGCAGGCCCATTAAGGAAAAGAAAAACAGGACAACCAGCAGCTACAAATAAAATCAGTACATTTACAACATGAAAATCAGCTAGGCTGTACCCTCAAAGAGTAATTCTAAGTAAGGAATGTCGACATTGTTCTTTGACCGAACATTTATAGGCAGAGGGCATAAATCTTACCCCTAAGTGGATCTTCTCAGGAAGGAAAATTTTCAAGTGATAATTTGAGGATATCTTACTGACTGGGTCATTTTCTATGTGCCTTAAACACAGTTTGGAAGAGGGGCTGCAAGGGAAAACTGTGCAAGCCATCCCCGGCCCAGCCCTGCTCCTGGGCTTCTCGTCCGGAACGGTGTCTAAGATCCCAAGAGATAAATGCACAGGTCCCATGCTGATTCGAGGCCAGAGTCCACCTCCTCCCACCTTCCCTGGAGCGCACCCAGGTTGGCTGGGGTCTCTCTGGACACTTCCCCTCAGCACACACAGGCCTGAGAGGCTTGGAGCCACTGAAATCACCAAAACCTAAAGCAGGCATGTATGTCCAGAGTGACAGGTTGACTTTCCAGTTTACAAATAGTTTAGTTCAGGGAGCGGTGAGGGAAATAAGGCTGTGGGAGAACAGAAAAGGTCCCTGGGGCAGCTTGACAGCCCCAGCCTGGGTTGTGGGGAGGGTAAAAACAAGCAGAATCAAAAGATAAACATGTAAAAAAAAAAAAAGGTTAAACACGTATTCTTTCTACCAGTAAACTTGAGAGTCAAATGATACTAAACCTATAAACCTGGCAAATTTTAATTCCTAGTAAAAAGTCACAAGAATGCCATACTTCCTATCTGTCCTTGGAAAAGCATGGTTCACTAGATGCACCCCAAGAAACACAGCTGATCTCAACACTGATTAAAAACAAACCTGCTAGAAAGAAATGAGGGATGCCTGGGTGGCTCTGGTTGAGCATCTGTCTTTGGCTCAGGTCATGATCCTGGGGTTCCGGGATTGAGTTCTGCATCAGGCTCCCTGTGAGGAGCCTGTTTCTCTCTCTGCCTATGTCTCTGCCTCTCTCTCATCTCTCATGAATAAATAAATAAAATCTTTAAAAAAAAAAAGTGAAAGAATTTCATGTCTTGCCTCCTCGCTTTGGCAGTTGAGCTTCTCCAGCTGGCTCTTGATGCTGCTTTCCTCGGCTTGCTGGATGGCAAAGTGTAGTGCAGCAGCAGAGACCCAGGCTGGGCCAGGCGGCGGGGATACCAAGTCAGAGGAGAGGCAGCTAGGAGAGAGAGAGAGAGAGAGAGAGAGAGAGGTGTCAGCATAGGAGCTTCCAGTCCTTCCTCCTGAAGCTGTCAGGGAGCCAGCCCTGCCCAACTTCAGGGGGCAGCAGAAGCAAAGTCTAGGTCCCCAGCTCCCCCTGGCTTCGCAAAGGGACCTACGTACGACCTGTGTCAGCTTCATTGTCGGTTTAGGGTTGTCTCCCAATTCCCTAACATGCTTCCATGCTGTGGATGTGAGGAGGGGGTAGGGTCTGACCCAGACACCTGGTCTTTGGACACAGGACTCTCACCTGGTGTCCACCACCCAGCCCCTGGGCTTCTGGGTACAATCCTCCTGCTCAGTCCCTGCTGTGACTGCAGTGATGCTCAGAAAGTTTCCCCAGCACGTTAAAAACAGGGCCAAAAATTAGTGGAATGTAGTGTATTTTGGGTTTCCTTATTTTCTGGGATTCTGAGCACTTGGGACCCTGCACAGGGATAGGAGGAGGCGGGGTGGGACCAGCTCCTCCTGACTACCTCTAAGGACACGGCTCTCCCCTCATCTGGCACATGCCAGAGACCACCAGCTGGACAGGGTGAGACCTGCCCCTCAGACACATCCCCGTGATGCTGCCACTGCCAGGCCTGTGTGGACCTGAGAGGAGACAAGGGGCAGGTGGGCTGGAGAGCTGGGTGGAGACTTCCTCTTTCACGTGCATCTTGCTCAGCCTGCCCCTAAGGCTTCTGTGTAGCATCGCAGGGGTTCATGGAGGTAACCTAGGGCAGGCCCTACGGAACATCTGTGCTTCCTCCCCTTGTCCCACATACCTCTTGCCAAACAGCTGGGCCTCCCACAGCCTCTGCAGCTCTTGGGGCAGTGGACCCTGGAAGCATCTCCTCCACCGGGTACGAAGTTCAGGCTCCAGGCGTGGCCACCATAACTTCCAGAGACAAAGATCACCAGTGAGCACGTCAGGGGAGGCTAGACTTAGACTCGTCTTCAGTCCTGACAGCCGAGATACAGAACCTCTGAGGGACCACTGGAGACCTGCCTGAGGCTGGCTAACCCCACCAGCTCTGCTCATGTTCGTCTCAAGTACTTGCTTTACAGTTCAGGGCAATCCCACAAGGTACTATCCTCCTCTGTAGAGGACATGATGTTTTACACAATAGCTTTTGCAGTGAATTCCACCCAAATGAGCCACAGACTTCAGTGTAAAGCCAAACTGCTCAGGGACTGCAGCAGCACAAGTCCAACCGCTGCTGGGGCTGGAATTCTATATAACAAAAGGAGAGCTGTGTGCTATCAGGACTTCCAAAAAAGCCAGCAATGCACCCATGGTAACCTCACACCCTCCATGTGAGTATGTCAGGCCGGCAGGGGACTGGGCCTCCTCTCTTCTCAAGTCCTGACAGTTGTCTGTCAGAAAACAGGCGTAACCTCAGTTGAGTGCATCTTCAGCCAACGTAGACCCAGAGATACACTCCTTTCCAGCGGGCAAGGCCAGGGAAGTCCATCTTCCTACCTTCTGGTGGATTCTGTGGACCCCCTGCCCCCGTTCCTCATTTTCTCCTGAACAACAAGAACCAGGATGCTGCCCTGGATGCACCGTGAGAAAGCAGCTGCACCTACCAGAGCAGAGGTCACAACTATGGGGCACTCAGTCTGGCATGTGGTCAGGATCAGGTTGGCTGCCAGGGAGGGGTCTCTGCTTTGTGAACAGGTGTTGAGGAGCCCCTGCAGGAGAGAACATGCCAGAAGCTCAGCAGCATACCTGTCCCTGAAAGGCACCACAGCTTCAAAGCACCACTGGGTATGAGGGTCAAGCCCAAGGGGACTGAGCAGGTCATCTGGGAGGTACAGAGGGCAACAAAATTACCCTGAAGAAGTGGACAGTGATGTCATGGGTCAGGGCACTTCCATGGCAGCAGAAGTTTCTCTGCAAAACAGCACAGACCGGTGAGAAAAGAGCCAACGGGACTGGGGGTGGGGGTGAGGGCAGCATGTGCCGAGAGGCTTTTGCAATGTTCACGGCACTCACGGCACCACTGCTGACCACGGATGTGGTTCCTCTGTGCAGCCAGACAGACCCCCCCCAGCCTGCCACAGGCTGGGAGGCATGGGCGGCACTCCCTGATGTCACTGTTGCTGGGATGTCAACTTGCCTTCCCACCTCTGGGTTCTCCATTCTGCCAGCCTGCACAGCCCCTTCTGAGAACTCTGAGGAAGACGGCCTCTGCTGAGAACTGAAAGCTCCTCTCTGCTTTCTGAGTCACCTTGTAAAGCTCTGTGTGACTGAATGGAACCTTACTTCCATCTCTAGTCATATTTGTGCATTTTTTAGAACTGGAAAAACATCTTCAGGGGTAGAAGCTGTTGTGAAGCATGTAGAAGCTGTGCTTATTCCTGGTGACCTCAGTGACCCTGACTGGATTCATGTAGGCTTTCATTTTTTGGGTAAGATCATGGAGCACCTGACACTGAACAGGGTGTACAATGGAAGAAAGCAGGGCCGACTGGTGGGAATGGCTGTCCTCTCAGCATCACTGGCTTTTGTGTTCCTGAAATGTCAAAACTGGAAAGAAATGGAGATTCTTGGTCTGAAAGACTTTTTGGATCTTGATGGCTGAACACTGGGGAAAGCTCCAGGAAAGGACTGAAGCTTTGGGACACCTAGGTGGCTCAGCGGTTGAGTGTCTGCCTTTGGCTCAGGGTGTGATCCCAGTCTGGGGATCGAGTCCCACATCGGGCTCTCTGCATGGAGCCTGCTTCTCCCTCTGCCTGTGTTTCTGCCTCTCTCTGTCCCTCTTATGAATAAATAAAATCTTAAAAGGGGGGGGGGGGGCTGAAGCTTTGGAGGAAGGGAGTTACAGCTGATCTCTGCACCTCACTGGTAGTCACTCTCTTCGCTCCTGGAGCAGGACTCCCGTTCTTTCCCTCAGCAATCTGCCGGTCTGCACACACACTGAAGCAGTGGGCTCCAAGTGACCACAGATGCACCCATGAATTTTCAAGAGCCAGCCCTCAGTGGTAGACCAACCCCATCCCTGCGTCCTGAGGTTGCTGCCCCACACCTACCAGCTCAGAGTTGACCAAGTGGAAGAATTCAGTGCAGTCAGGGGTGGCCGGCTGTTTGCACTGGGGGCTGCCGACGAGAATAGATGGGGGCAGACCGAGGAGGATCCTTGCAAAGAGGAACGCATCAGTGGTGATGGCACAGCCTAACTTCACTCCCAGAGAGCTCAGACTCAGATCTGTAACAACCCTCCCTGCTTACTCTGGGAACCAGAGTCCCCGCCTGGGGCTGCGTGCTGAGCACCCATGCCTGCAGGGCCCCCTGTCAGCATTCACAGCATCAACTCTAAGAGCCATTCTTAAGTTGCACCATAGGCAAAAGGGTGCACCACAGACTAACATAGCTATGCCCAAGAACTAGGGGATTACATGATCTCACTCATAAATAAGGAGTATCTGTAACCACACACAGTTTTCCTTATTTCAACATGAATTCTTTAGGCTATATCTTTCAACAGTGAATCTCCAGGGTCTGAAGAGGCAGGCATTAATCCAAAGCTTCAGACCCTGCTCTCTCCATGGGAGCCCCAAGGAGAAGATGCAGTCACAGCCTGGGGGTAGGGACCAGAAACAAATGACCAATGGAAAAGAAAACTTGTGACAAAAGAGACACTCCACACAGCGCCACGGTACCATCTGTACACAAGCAGCTCCTGCTGTCTCTGAAGGCGGGCAGCCACATCCCACCCGCTGGCCAGGCCCTGGAGCCGTCTGCGGAAAACTCTGAAAAGGAAGTGCCCCTCAGAAGGAGAGCACCTCTGGGGTGCTACTGGGCCCTGCTCCAGGTCAGCAGCCATCTCCTGGAAAAAAACAAGACCAAAACATTCACATACTTTTATTGCTGGTCCCAGGGGCTTATCCTCAGATGTGAAGCCAGAAAGTCCTCAGAGCTTACTGTCCACCCCAATCAGGACTCTGAAATGGGGTTGACTGGCTTGGGAGAAAGGTTTCCCAAGAGCTGGGCATGAGTGGGACAAGCCTTTTTACTTGGAAATCATTGAAAATTTGCAAAAAGACAGTAAGAATAGGACAAAGAACACCTTTACCAGATTTCCCAAAGCTAATAGTTTATCATTTATCATCTGCTTTTACTAACACGCACAGGTGAATTTCAGACGTAAGGCATATACACAGCAGGCACTCAGTAAATGCAGAGGCAGAACAAGCCAAACGCCTGCACTGCAACATCATCCCTGCTGCACTGTCTGCCCTCCCCACTCGCTCTTCCTGCCATAGCCAGGTAGGATGAATGTGAAGGACCAGAGGTCAGGATGAGGGGTTGTGGGGCTGGGAAGTCTCTAGTGGGATGTGTTATTCACTTGTAGGTAAAATTTCCCAGTGCCCCAGGCCACACCTTCCATGGTCTTGTCACTCCCCACATTCTCTCAATTCAAGCACTTGCAGAACATCAGCAGAAACACCAGCAGGAAGCGTGAAATCCACACACACAATCCTGTCAACGTGGGGCCTCACGTAACGCTTCCAAAGGTAGATTCCCAAGGCACACTGTGGACACGGAAACCTAAGGGAGCCATGGTCTGCCCTATGACCTCAGAGCCTGCTCTCAGGGTCTGACCTTTATGGCCCTGACTAGACCTGAGGCACTCTGGCTGAAAACTGCACTTTTCACCTCAAAACGACAGCCCCATTTCCACACCCTCTTAAATGCACTTGCTTTGGTGAAGAGAACCCGCCAGCCTGTGGAGGTGCCAGGTGACCCTGTGAAAGAACAGTAACTTAGCCTTCCTTTGCCAAGTAGAGGGCTATTTACGTTATTTCTCAGAGCCTAATATCCACATGGAATAGCCAAGAGCTACAAAAACACAGCAAGCTGTGGATAGCAACCATTTTACTACCAAAGTTGGTATCTTCTCAATTTCCTCTGCTTTCAAATTTTAAATGTCCCTAAGCCTGGAGATGGTCTGGCACCACAGCTTTTGTATTTTGGGGACAGTCACGGGGGAGGTGAACACACTGTCACTCTGGGTCTGGTATATCATATGTATGATGTGACTTTTCATTCTGTTGAGCTGCCTTAAGATATTCAATAATAAATATCTTAATAGCAGATGACACAAATGCCATGAAACAGTGAGTTTTATATCTTCTAACTCACCTGCAACCTGGAAAAAATATCCCGATTTCCTGTGCAGCTGAGAACCAAATCAGAATTCTCCAAGCAGTTGTAACTCCTCAAACTGAAACAAAAACACAATAAAAGCCTCCTAAGTATCTCCTGATGTGCAGGGCGTTCCTATTTCTCCTGGCTCCAGAGTGGAGTATTGTCATAGAGCCAGGAGGTCCCAGGGGGCCAAATGACACCCAGTCATCAATAAAAAACAAACAAACAAAAAACCTTCTACAACAATACAGTAGCAACCCCAATCTAGTGACATCTATAAACAATTATGTACCACAACCAAATGGGATTTATTCTAAGAATGCAAGGTTGGTTCAACACCCTAAAGTCAACACACCTATCAAGAGAATAAAAAAAACAAACATGTAAACATCTCAATAAACAGATATTAGACAAAATTTAATACCCTTTCATGATAAAAACACTCAACAAATTTGGAGTAGAAAGAACTTCCTTAATCTGATAAAGGCCATCTATGAAAAACCCACAGCTTACATCATACTTAATGATGAAAGCTTCCCTCCTAAGATCAGAAATAAAACAAAGTTCTTCTCTTTCACCACTTCCATTCAATACCACTGGAAGTAGTAGCCACAACAGTTTAGCCAGAAAAAGAAATAAAAGGTATCCAGATTGGAAAGGAAAAAGTCAAACCGTTTCTATTCACAGATGACATGATCTTGTACACAGAAAATCGTAAAGAATCCACAATTAAAAACTATTAAAGCAAACAATTTCACAAAGTAGCAGGACATGCCATCAATATACAAAGATCAGTTGTATTTCTCTATACTAGCAATGAACAAATAAATCAAGCATGGAATTAAGATATTAATTACATTTACAATGGTGTTAGAAAGAATAAAATACCTAAGGATAAATTTAACCAAGGAAGTACAAGACTTGTACACTGAAAACTATAAAACACTGTTGAAAAAATTATAGAAGACCTAAATAAATGGAAAGATATCCCATGTTCATGGATATAAGATTTGGTATTGTTAAAGTGGTAAAAACTACCTGTAATTATCTACAGATACAATGCAATACAATGCAATCACTATCAGAATCCCAACTGTTATGTTGAAAATGACATATTGACCTTGAAATTCAGATGGAATTGCAAAGGACCCAGAATACCCAAAATGATCTTGGGGCGGGGGGGGGAGAAGAGGATTCATTTCCCAATTTATTATTTTTTTTAATTTATTTATGATAGTCACACACACACACACACACACACGAGAGAGAGAGGCAGAAACACAGGCAGAGGGAGAAGCAGGCTCCATGCACCGGGAGCCCGACATGGGATTCGATCCCGGGTCTCCAGGATCGCGCCCTGGGCCAAAGGCAGGCGCCAAACCACTGCACCACCCAGGGATCCCATCATTTCCCAATTTAAAACTTCCTACAAATCTACAGTAATCAAAACAGTGATATTGGCAATAAGAATAGATGTGTACACCAAAATGAAGAGAGTCCAACAACAAATCTTCACAGGTAGGATTAACTGATTTTTGGCAAAGGTGCCAAGATCATTTAATGGGGAAGGACCATGTCTTCAACAAAACATGCTGGAACAACTGGATATCCACATGCAAAAGAGTGAAGGTCGATCCTTAACTTATTCCATAAAAATTAAATCAAATGGAGCTAAAACAAAAAAATAGATGAATTGAATTTCATCAAAATTTAACACTTTTGTGCATCAAAGGACTCCAACAAAGGAGGAAGTGAAAAGAGGACTCCTAAAATGGAAGAAAATGTTTGCTTCTCTTATCTGTTAAAGATCTGGGATCCAGAATACATAAAGAATTCTTAAAAATCAATAAAATAACCCAATTATAAAATGGGCAAAAGATGTGACAGTTCTCGAAGATAACACAAATTGTCAACAAGCAATTGAAAAGATGCTCAACATCATTAGCCAGCAGAGAAAAACAAATCAAAACCATAATGAATTATACCACAGCATATCCATTAGGATGGGTATTATCAAAAGAAAACAATAATTATATTTGTGATAATCTGGAAAAATTGGAACACTCTGATACTGCTGATGGGAATGTAAAATGGCTCAGTTTTGGAAAACAGCCTGGTAATCCCTAAAAAAAAGTTATGACACAGCAATCCCATATCCCACAGTATATGCCCCCCAAAAATGAAAACACGGGACTACGGAAAAGTCTATACACAAATGTTTTATAGCAGGGGCACCTGGGTGGCTCAGATGGTTAAGCATCTGCCTTTGGCTCAGGTCATAATCCTGGGGTCCTGGGATTGAACCCCACATCGGGCTCCTTCCTCAGCAGGGAGTCTGCTTCTCCCTCTCCCTCTGGCCCCCCACTCATGTTCTTGGTCTCAAATAAACAAAATCCTTAAAACCCACAAATGTTTGTAGCAGAATTATTCATAATTAATAAGTGAAAACCCAAATGTCCATCAGTTAATAAATAAACACAATGTGCTCCATCCTTCAATGGAATACTATTCAGTAATACAAAGAATGAAGTTCTGATATATGCTACAAGGTAGACTAACCTTGAAAACGCTATCCTGAATGAGCCTGATACAATGGACCACATGTTTGTCTAATTCCATTTATATGAAATGTCTAGGATTGACAACTCCACAGAAAGTAGATTCAGGGTTACCAGGGTTGGAGGGGAATGGAAGGAATGCAGCACACATACTCATTTCTCCCTCCCAAGAGAAAAACAAAGGACAAGAGGACCAGCCCCAACTTCAGCTTGACTGGTACTGAATGTGTTGCTCCCAGCCACTAAGCACTGCAAGTAAAAAGCCCAGTGCTACTAGTTGTACTGCAATGTAATGTGACTTCTAAGCGTTTTGCAAACTAGGCGGTGTTTACAGATCCTTGTGGAGAATGGAGGGGCAGTGGGAAACATAAAGGCACCTGTCCTGCACTGTCTTCAGTAACCACTTGCACAGGCTGTGTTTCTTAGGGGGTAACAAGATTTGTTTTCTATGATTTAATATATTACCTAAAATGTGGAAAATGGAATTGATTTTATTCACCATCTTGACGCAACAATCATGAAGACAAGGACACTAATACAGACTTGCTCAGCAGGAACACAAACACAGGGAACTCTGCCTCCATGGCAGCCAGCCCACATCCGTGTTTCAGGCACGCTCAATGCCTGCCACCTGCCAGCCCACTTGTTCCCACCCTGATGCCAGGTGACAAAGCAGATAGACTGGCACTGCCAAATCTATACACAAAGAAAACACATCCGGGAAGCTTACCTTTACTTCGAATAGACTCAGACTTGCTATCAGGATGTTTAATTGTGTTTTGTATAACACAAAGTAGACAGAGATAAAAACTTTCTGAGAACCAACAAAATTAAAAGTATGATGCTTTCTGGCATCAGCATTCCTAACCTTTGGCAGAAGTCTATCAGCACGTCGACAAGAACTGTGCACGCTGTCTGCATGTCCCCATCGCAGCCCCCAGCCTCGGAGGGCTTGAGGAGGAAGTGCTCATGGATTGCCCACTGGTGGAAGTCCCACCTGCAACAGCAAATACCAGGATATGTGCTGAGAAGACCTGCAAACCCCTGCTTCCTGTGGCCAAAAATGAGCCCAGAGCCAGGAGCACAACAATGGCAGGCGGTTAGATCTGAGGGTTTGGAGGTATAGGAAGGCCCTCTACCACAATCCAGGCCCCCTCAAGGGCCACCTCCCTGGGTCATTATCCCAAAGTCCACCAGCAAAAATGTCCAGAAGATCCTGATGATGTACTAAGTGAAAGCCTCAGCCAGAGAACCACTGACAGAAGGAGCCAAGCCCAAGGAAGATGTTCCATATACCCAGGAGTGGGCAAGGAACAGGTGAAAAAGGGATGGTGCTCCACCCACACCGTCTACACTTGTACGGAACGCATCTGACTGTGACTTGTGCAATTAGAAAAGAAAAGGTCTAAGCACAATTCAACATACAGTGAGCTGGGGGTAAGAAATGCTTCTTATGGATCCTCATACTAGAAATGAATTCCTTCTCTTCCTACTGAAAATAGAACAGGAGGAGAAGGGAAGATAGGGGAGACCCTAGGGCACACGAACCCTTGCAGAAAGCACTCACGCTGGCACAGACCCGAGGAGGAGGCAAATCTCCATCTTGGAAAAGCAGTGTTTTTTATTTCTACTGGCTCCTTCTACAACCTAACACCACGAGACAGCATCCCACGCATGTGAGACGCATCTCTGGCCACACAGGGACAGTGGCTCAGGGCAACTCACGCTGACTCCTGCCCTTGGCTACCCCGAGGCTC